AATAAATTTTTATTGGTTTTAGGGAGGAAGGGAGAGGGAGATAGAAACATCAGTCCCCCCCCCCCCGCCCCCCCCCCCCCCCCCCCAGGACAGAGCCTGCAACCCCGGCCTGTCTTGACCAGAATCAAACTGTGACCTCCTGGTTCAGGTCGATGCTCAACTGCTGAGCCACCCCGCCAGGCCTAACGTTTTTTTTGCCTCCCCTCCTGCCCTTAGACTCCGGGAGCGCTGCTGGGGTTGGGGCCCCCAAGCTGGTGGCCCCCCCTGAGAGCTCTGCTGAGCTTTGGGGGGACCTGGCTCCTGTCAGAGGTTGGCCACACAACCACGTGCCTCCAGCAGGTCCCTCAAGGTGTTCAGCCTCTGTCTTCCGGCTGTAAAAGGCGACAGCAAGACTCCCCTCAGAGGATGTAGTAAACCACTCATGGCAATGTTCAGAGCAAAGCAGCACTGGGGCAGGGCGGGCCTGAGGACTGGGAGACCCCATGAGGGGCAGCCTGGCTCTGGGCTTCAGCCACAGCTCACCCTGGAGGGCCGGCATGGGGTGTGAGCATCAGTCTCTCAGGGTTTGCCTTGGCCTCTGGCCTCTGGTGCCCCAGGCGCCTCTCCCCTGAGCCTGTAGGTACAGAGGTCAAGGTGCCAGGCCTCCAGGCCCTTTCCTATGACTTGGAACTCAAACCCCAACCTCTAGGGTTTGCCTGTTTCACCCCTGACATGGCAATGTTCAGAGCAAAGCAGCACTGGGGCAGGGTGGGCCTGAGGACTGGGAGACGCCATGAGGGGCAGCCTGGCTCTGGGCTTTAGCCACAGCTCACCCCGGAGGGCCGGCATGGGGTGTGAGCATCAGTCTCTCAGGGTTTGCCTTGGCCTCTGGCCTCTGGTGCCCCAGGCGCCTCTCCCCTGAGCCTGTAGGTACAGAGGTCAAGGTGCCAGGCCTCCAGGCCCTTTCCTATGACTTGGAACTCAAACCCCAACCTCTAGGGTTTGCCTGTTTCACCCCAATGGATGTGTCTCACCTACCTGGGATCGAGGGTGAGAAAATCCTTCCCAGGTCACTGACTGGGCCACCCCATGGGCAGTACATGTGGTCACTCTCTGTAAATCATTCACCAGCATCCTGGTGACTGACAGACACTTGCCCATTCTGGGCACCCATTCCCAGATATGTCAGGGCTGAATGCTGGGAGGGCTCTCCCTCCCTCCCTCTCTCCCTCCCTCCTTCCTTCCCTCCTTCCCTCCCTCCCTCCCTCCCT